TTTGTTTTTTTTTGTTAGGGTTTGGGGCTTCAATGAAGCTATCAGAAAGCCCCCGGAAGCCCGAAACCTGAGCTCTAGAGCCTGGAAACCTGAAGCTATGAGAACCTAAGGACTCCGGGCACAAAACCATCGATCCTCGTTCAGCCTTCAGACTCGTCCTGCAACGAACACAACCCTGAACCCTCACCGTCACCTACGGTACCCACCCGACACTCTCAACCCTCGCCTAAAACCCAAAACCGAGACCTTGAACCCAAAACCCGAAACTCCCAAGATTAAACCACCTCGAAACTCCGATCTCTTTACCTTCCGAGACACCCAAAACAAGAGAAGAAGAGGCGCCTCGTCGTTCGTTTCTTCGGTGGCCGACCTAAAGAAAGCGCCGAGAGGGTTTGGGGTTCAGGGTTGAGGGTTCAGGGCTTAGGGCATGGGGTGTCACTCTGACTAGTTTGGATACCATCCTAGGGTTTACGATACTGAAACCACTACAAGTAACCACTCTGAAAATGCTATTCCGAATCCAAAACTGGCTCTAAAACCTGCCCTCTAACCCTGGGCCCTGAACCCTGAATCCTAAACTTCCTAAACTTCCTAAACCCTAAACCTCAACCGGGCTTCGAACGTGCTTCGTGCAAAGAAGCGCCGGTAGAACCTCTTCGGCTGCGAGGCTGTTTCTAGGGTCTTAAGCGCTGCGGATTAGGATTGCTAGGGGTTTGTGACTGGGGCTTAGGGGTTCGCGACTAACGCTTAGTGTCTGGGCATTGAGCTACGGGTCTCAGGTCGTTTCTTGCAGTTTCGGGCTTCGGGTTTAGGATTCTTGGGAGGCTCTCTGGGCTGAAAGGTATACGGTTCCAAGGGCTTCTGGGCTGTTCACTTCTGAATCTGCTCATTTATGGAACACACAAGTCACCGACCCTTCGAACCTTAGGCAACGAAGCCGAAGCTCGAAACCCTTCCAGTGATGAGGATCCGCCTACTGCGACTTGCGACTTCTCATCTCCTAGCATGCAATCGGTATCCAAACAATCCCTGCAAACGTCTCTCAGCTGCCGACGGAAGTCCTACGATCACGATAGTAGTTGCGGAGCGACAATAATGCAGCTACTAAGCAACAACAAAAAATGACTAACAGTAATCAACGACATTTCGAAAAGCCAAAGCCGGATAGTCATTGTAGTTAGGATTACCTAAACCCTAAACCCTAAACCTTTAAACCCTAAACCCCAAACTCACGGCTCGGCCCCAAAATGGGACCTTTATGCGGGGTCTGTGGTGCCCTGCCCTGGCCCTGCCCTGCCCTGCCCTGCCCTGCCGGATGAGTTTATAGACGGTGTGGGCTGGGAAAGAAAAAAAGGAAACAGCCCTTTATAGACCGGCTTTCGGAGCTCGTCGCCAAAGAACGATACACTCGACACAACCTTGTCGCAAGACACTATCGCCTGCTGTTTCACGACAAACCCGAATCCCTAAACCCTAAACCTATCATCTTCATCATAATGCCCACAAGCAGAACCGAAAGTCCGGCTTGGTCCCGCGCCGCGTAGTGAAATGCGCCAATTCGGCAGCACGTGGGGCCGTGCAGCTGCACTCATCCTGGTTTCGGTTTAGGGTTCGGGCACTGTTCCAGCCGGAGCCGTGAAGGACTGCAGTACACAGCTTTCTGAGCGCCCAAGGGTTTGGGCATTGCAAATTTCAAATTCCGCGCCGCTATGGACCTCATGGTCGTAGACCAAGCAGTGTCTGGGGAAGCAAGACTTGGTAATGGATGACTCGATTCGGTGAGAACCTTGAGGGTGGCCCGTCGTAGAGTGGCAGCTACAAAGGACGCAACAGAGGGGCCTTCATAATATCAACGGAGTTTTGGGGTGATGCGGGCGAAAGCCTGTCGACGAAGAGCGAAGAAAAGGACGACACACGCATCCACGGAGAATGTGTGCATAAGCATGTAAAGAAGATATCCGTAATTTGGTGCAAATATCTATTGCCATAGTACTTTTTACAGGCCATTACTATTACAGTTACTATTACTACTACTTAGATTGCAGACGTCGAGCCATTGAACGGTATTTTTGGAGACCAGGAGCCCGCAATCTGCCGAGAGTAACACCCTGGGCCTTACAAGTCCCATATGGGTGGTTGTCAAAATTATGGTCCCTTTTTGGGTCCTTATTATAATACGGCACCTATTATTTAGGGTACCCCAAAAGGGACCCTAATTTTGACAACTACCCATATGTCCCGAGTCCTCTTAGAACTCCCCGCGAGAACACCAGTGACAAACATCTTGAACCCTGACTAAACTCTGACGTCTAAGACCATAAGACCCATAAGCCCTCAACTCTTGAAATTTTGGAACCCCTATAGTAGCCCTTACTTAGAGTATCCCTTGAAGGAACCTTCAAAGGGAACCTCATCAGAACCCTTACAGCAAGCTCTTTTGTCGGAGTTCCCGGGAAGTAAACCTTTGACCCTGAACCCAAAGCCCCCTTTTTGCCGGGGCGTTTTGGGAATTCGTCTCCTTGCGAAGCAGCAGCACCAAGGCGGCAACTGCAGCCGGGAGCTCCTTCTGGGCCTTCAGGGCTCGAGTCTGGGATTCGGGGTTTGGGGCATTATTGCTTGGGTTCTAATTTTGGCGTTTAGGGTTGGGGGGCTGTGGCGTCACTCAGGCCCCCAAGTTTAGGGTTAAGGGTTGCGCGTTAGGGTTGCACGGATTAGGCATTCTAGGGGTTTAGGAAGCTTAGGGCGAGCGCAAAGCCCAAACCCGAAACACGAGGCAGCGCTACTGTAAAACCCAGCCAAACACTGGTGAAAACCAAAAACCCCTATGGAGACCCATGCTAGAACATGTACTTCAACATCAAGCCCCAAACACCCTCAAACAAAACCATGTCAACCTTCTAAAGCACCAAAAGTCGGTTCCACAACTTCTTGGCTCTCGGCTTCCAGGTCAGACTTCGAAGCCTCTCTAGGTCAAGCAGGGTGTAGGGTTTAGGGGCTAGGAAGTCCGTAAAGGTTGAGCTTTGTTAGGGCTTGTGTATGGGATGTTCATAAGGTTCCTAGGATGATAGAAGGGTTTCATAAGTTTTTGTGATAAAGGCCCTGGACACTAGAACAACGTTTTGGTGAAGTTTAAAGTAGATTTGCACACGGGCTGTAACGGGAGATTTTCCCAACCATTCTTTCAGGATTTAGAAGGTTTTGGACGGATTTCTACGCTCCGTAGTTGGATTCGTATGATGGTTCACGAATATTCCTTCATTGAGATGTCTTGCGCTCTCTGGTCATGTGCTAGCATGACTACTGCTATTACGGTAATGGTATCGTGCTCATGGTGACGGGACATCTCATCTGTGTCGCTATCGTCTTGATGGCACAACTCCTATTACCGCAGTGAAGAATGATTTGGGTCTTGCAACTGTGGCCCGTGCTTTGCTTATCTCTACACCTCTACCCATTCCAGTGTTTACCTACTCCTATCTCTAGCACACTTTCGAGCTTGATTCTGCTCCTACTACCGTTTGCAATGCAATCATAACACGAGGAGTACACCGCCACAAGAGTATCCATGTAAATATGTGCGTGTGTATATATATATATATATTTACATACACATATACGTATATATAATAACAATAACAATGCTAAATGAAAATGGTATGAATAATAGTAATACTAAAAAGAATTACAGTAAGAATAATAGTAATAGTAGTAGTAACAATTACACTAAAACATAAGTGTGTATATATATATATGTAAACATGTATACATGTATGTATGCATGTATGTATGTATACATGCATGTAAATATGCTTGCATACCTGTGCATATATGTATATATATATATACATACATATACATGTACATGTACATGTACATGTATATGTATATGTATATACATATACATACACATACACATATACATATACAAATACATACACATACA